CAAAGAAATCTGTTCAGAACCCCAGCATTTGTGATGTCTGTTGTGGGAGGGGCTTCCATTTTACAGAGAAATGCCCAAAGTGCATGTAATGTCACAGGGTAACCAAATGCTTTTGTTCTGGGGGTGGGAGAGGGATGGGTGCATGGTGAACAGCAGGTGGGGTGTCTTTCCATTGGGGATGAGGAAGAAGAGGCCACCTGGAGGCAGAGGAGACCACAGTGGGGCATGATGGTTGGGGAAGGCCTTTTACTTCTGCCCCTTAAGGATGCCCTGGAGTTCAGGCTTTCTGATCCCAGAGCTCTCGTTAGAGCAGCCCTATGTTGTAGACGTTTCTGCAATGACAGAATGTTCTGAATCTATGCTATTCAATATAGTAGGCACAAATTACATGTGGCTATTGAACACTTGAAATGGGGTTAGTGCAATTGATGAGCTGAAAATTTAATATAACTTAAATTCACTTACATTTAAATAGCTGTGTGTGGCTAGCGGCTGCCTATCGGACTGTGCAATTCTGGAGAATGGTACTTTACTTGTGCTTGGGGAAGCAGAAACAAATGAAAACAAGGATCTGGAGCTCATGAAGGTTCTCACGGGGTGAGATATGTGTGTTGAAGCTACACCTTCAGCAGGAAGCTGGCCAGTCCTTAGCGGAGGACAGTTCCTTCCATCCTGCATCCAGGTGGCTGGTCCTACTCTTCCTAGTTCATGGAGAAAAAAGAACTGAAACAAACTGTCTAAGCTGGGTCAGGTACTCAGCAGATGTTTGCTATTGTTCTCGATAGATATCTTAAATTTTCTCCCCTACTCTTCTTCCTCAGAGTGACAGAGCCAAAAGATCAGTACCTCATTTTGGTGGCATGGAAAAGGAAACTTTGTGGGGGCAAGAGATCTGCTTGCAGTCAGCCAGAGAGAAAGAGCCCAGACAGCAGTGAGCTCTCATGACCTGGTACCTGTTGCCTTCTGGTTAAGTTTTTCATTCATAATTTTACAAATATCCCCTTCTGTGACCATCTCCCTCAAAATGGAGTAGGAAGTTCTCAAAAATGGACCAGAAAGGGGTCAGGAATATAACTTTTTCTGCCCAGATTCCAGGACTTATAGTGAGAAAGCACCTTCTGCGAACCTCACAATGGCTAAAGTGTGCTAATGGAATGATGTACCCTTGTACACCCACTGCTTCTGAACTCTGCTCTGCATTGCTGAGTCTAGAAGTCTGCAAACTACATTTCCCAGAATTCCTTGTTGGATTCCTTCCAAACAGGTTTGCCACTGGGGGAGCTTGTTGGTGGTGGGGGAGGGGGGACTCACTTCCTGTTTGCAGCTGAAGTCTAAATCAATATAGTAACAGCAGGCAGTTATGGTACTACCCTCATTGTCACCCCTCAGAGGTCCCACTGCAGCTGCATAATGTCCCCTCAGTGGCAACATGAGATGAACAACACTCTTCTTGGGAGTACCAGTCCCGCTTGGTACATGCCACTTTGAATGAAAGCTACCTTTTCTGGATTCTCTTGCAGCTCTGTTAGGTCATGTGATAAAGTTCTGGTCAATGGCAGGGGAACTCAAGTGATGTGTACAAATAGAAGTAGCTGGGTGCCTGATACTACATAGATTAAGCTTGCACTTACTCTTAAGAGAGAGACATGAACTTTTACCCATGGAAGCCAATATTATTTTGAACTTGTTAGAGCAGATTGAATCTGCATCCTAACTAGTATCCCTAATGTGTGACCTTTGAAAATTAGGCATAGCAGTCCCAGTTCCAAAGAATCTCACACTCCTCTGAAGCTGCTTCTGCCAAGGTCACTGATCTCTCCCTTCGCTACATCTTGTGGGTATTTTCTTCAGTCCTTGTTTTACTTAATTACTCATTCCTTCTCGAAACCCTTGTTTCCCTTGGCTCTGTGGCATCCTATGCTCTTGGTTTTCTCCTACATCTCTGACCCTCTTTCCTTAGTCTTTTTTCTTCTTCCTCCTATCCCTTAAATACTGGTTGTGATCCTCTTTTTATCTCATTCTGTACTCTCAGCCTGAGTGATTCACACCATTTTGATGCTGAGAACTTCCAAAACGTTGGTCTAGCCTGGATCATTGTTATGAGCTCTAGACTCACATGGCCAATTGCTCGGTGGAAACCCCTCCCCCATGGTTATCTCATGAGCCCCTCAAGTCCAACTTCTCCTTCACTGACCTCATCATCTCTTCTGTTCCTCCTCCTGGGTTCCCAGGCTCAGTGGTGGCAACACTGTCTACCTGGCTGCTTAGCCTGAGACCTGGCTCCATCCCAATTCCTCTCTCTCAGTCTTATCATCCCCATCCAGGCAAATCATTGATTCTGTGGACTGACTCTTTTGGGTGTCCCTCAAATCTCTCCACGTCTCTCTGTTCTCACTATCACTACCTCGGTCCACCCTGCCATCTGCTTTCCTCCTCCACTCCTGCATTCTGAGTCATTTTCGGCAGCACACGAATCCTTAAAACCCCTCCATTGGCTTGCCAATGTCCTCAGGATTAGGCGAAAAGTCTTTGGTTTACAAGGCCCTTCACTGTCTGGCCCCCCATTACCTCTCCTGCTCTGTCTGCACGCTCCAGTCCTGCAGAACTACACACAGTTTGCCCAGCGAGCCCCTGCTCTGCTCTCCTCACACACTGCTCCTCTGCCTGGGCCATTCTTCCTGCTCCTCATCAGCAGGCTCATGACTCTCAGGCTCAGAATGGACAGCTGCTTCTGAGAGCCTTCTCTGCCTACCCAGGCTGGGTGGGTGCCTCTCTTTGGTGTGCCCATGGCAGCCCAGAATGCCTGGTGGACAGGGAGCCCTCAGCAGGCTGTATTGCAGCGCCCTGCTCCTGTTGGCCTCCAGGAGCCGCCTGTCTTTCTCACCCTTGTCTCTCCAGTCCCTAACACAAGGGATGCCTGACCCCAAACTAGACAAGTTACTTGACGTCTCTGACCCAGGACAAAATGGGAGGAAAGTGCTAAATTTCCACAATTGGCCGGGAGATTAAATAAGATAAATATGCAAGTCTCTTGTCCAGGGGCCTGTCTTGGTAAATCTAAAGTTCTTTTTTCTTTTTCTTTTTGAGACAGGGTTTTACTCAGTTACTAAGGCTGGAGTGCAGTGACATAATCATGGCTCACTGAAGCATAAACTTTCTAGACTTAGGCGATCCTCCCACCTCAGCCTCCTGACCCTCCAGGACTACAGGCGTGCACAACCATGACTGGCTCATTTTTTGTATTTTTAGTAAAGACAGGGTTTCAACATGTTGCCTAGGCTGGTCTCGAACGCCTAGGCTCAAGTGATCTACTTGTCTCAGTCTCAGGGATTATAGGCATGAGCCACCATGCCCAGCTAAAATTTCCTTTTAAAAATCTTGTTGTTAGATATACTCATAGAAAGATAACTGGACACAGAAGGGAGAGGAATGGTAGTCCTTCCAGGGATCACTGGAGTGTCATAAAAATGTTACAGGAATCACCAGCCTTAGAACTTGAAAGGAACCCAAGGATCATCTAGACTACTTCGTGCAGGTAAAACAGCCACCTGTGCCCATCACAGAGCTGGGATACAGCCGAAGACCCCAACAGAGGAGAGCTGATGGGTGACCAGGACCCAGGCCTCTCCATCATGGCAGCCTAGCTAATGGGTCTTGGCTGGAAGGTAACAGGAAGGCCTCTTTCCAGAAACACTGTGAGGCAGTGTTTCTCAGATTGATTCATAGGCAGATCATGAAATCAGTTTAATAGCTTTGACCAGCATTAACTCATTGATGCCTAGCATTCAATTATTGGAACACTAAGCTTGTGGGAGTTATTTATATCCTACTGCTTAAGCTCAGTGCCAAACTGTGATTTTTCAATCAAACCTTGAAAAAAAAAATTTGCAACCTCTGGCATAAATGGGTTAAAACAAGACAAAACAAAACAATACCAGAATGGAAAACAGTGCATGATCTGTACAGTATAGTTGTACAAAACTTCTTGTTTTATCATTTGATGTCATGATGGCCCTGCTGTAGATAGAAGACGGGGGTGCTTCTGCTTCTGAGTGGTCACGCTCGACAGGGTAGGGAGCCCAGGAGAGTGGGGAGTGATCTTGTAGATTGAGGTGGGTGGGGCCAGTGTGAGCCTGACAGTCAATTACTTCCCAAATCTAAGGAAAATTAAAGGAAAAGAAGAGGGGGATATAGAGGGGAGAGAAGGCCTCCGTGGAGTTTGCACTATTATTAGGGCAAGTAAACTGCTTCTGAAAAGAAGGGGTTTGCAAAGGCAACCTGCAAAAGCAATCTGCTGGAAGACCTTCCTCCCCAGCTGACACTGCAGGAAGGACCCCCTGCAGAAGCAATAGGGCAACCTGGTCCCATACCCTCATGAAATGCCTCTTATAATTGTGACATCTTGCAACTGTGGAGCACTTTATACTTCTCAGAGTTCCCAGACACTCACTTATTTCTCAAAAGACCTCTGGGAGGTGGGGGATGGTATCATTATTCCACTTTAGAGATGGGGAAACAGGATCGGTGTGAGCTAAATGACTGCCAGATCCAAATGTAGAATTCAGACTCCTAGTTTCTAAGTAGACACTCTTTCTACACCACCATAACGTGAGTGCTCTGTGTTTATAGGGTGCATTCAAGTCCATTACTATCCATTAGGATCCCCTCAAAAAAATTCCAGGGTGGCCTGAGTTATTCTTTAGACCAATGAAATCAGAGTCCTGGGAGTGGGGCCTGGGCCTTGGGATCCTTTAAAGCTCCATTTGGAGAGCCTTGTGCACAGCCTTGTCCCCCAGCCTTGGCCCAGCCTGGCCAAGCTGCCCAGGAGTTCCCTTGGTGCCCTGGGCTCTGATAAATGTCATTGTTTTGTAGAGTAACTTCCCAGTGAAGCTGCCACTGGGCCCCATCCTGGAAGCCGAAGTCCCCGGGCCCCTCCTGAGAGGAAGTATGAACTGGAAGATGGGGAGGCAGGCGGTTCTGACAGACAGAAAGCAAACAGCTCAGAGGGGTGGCAGGCTGCATTTTATTCATCGTTAATTTAAACACCCTTCAAGTCCTCTCTTGGAGTGCTGCTCAGAAAAATAGATGTATTGTTTGAGAAACCTGCAGCTTGTCCCGCATGCTCTAACCCCCTCCTGAGAGAACAGGTAGCATAGAAAATGATTTGTAAAGCAAGGGGGAGCTTCCTTAGGGAAGGAAGAAGGGGAAGGGGAAGAGGGTCTCGGGCCAGGTCCAAATGCAGAAATCCTCAATGCATGAGACTAGCGTGGAGGGTATAGCAATTGCGCTCTGGGGTGCCTGAAGGTGCCAGAGTTGCTCCAGGGGCAAGAGTCCAGGCCCCAAGTCCATACTGATGAGCCCACCCTGGGGGTCAGGAACGGCCTCAGCAGGCCCTCCCTCCCTCCCTCTCCACCCTACAAAGTGAGGAGCCTTCAGAGTCACCACCAGCACATTATACAACAATACAACAACCCTGCAACAGATAAACAAAGCCCCAGAGCCTCTTCTGGATTCAGAAGTGCCCTAGGCTGGCTGTCTGGCTGTGCTTTCCAGACAGTGTGCATGTGGAATTGTGCTTTTTGTTTTTTAAGAATGTAAAAAGTTACAGTAAGATTGAACCATGGGGCCCATCACTCCTATGGTCTCTGCCTGGCTGGGTTGCCATCTGCCTCAGTTCCCCAGAAGCTTCTCCTTTGGTTCACCCCAGAGCCCACAGGAAGAGGGGGTCTGCTGGGAGGCCTGTCTGAAGGATGGAGGAGCCTGGGTCATTTAGCAGCTATTTTCCAGGGTTTGGCTTGGGTTTGGATGCTGGCTTCTGTGTGAAACACGAATACATGCAAATTGTACGTAAAACTCCACCAGAGCAAAGAGGATTTTCCAGGCCCTGGTACATCTCTAGGGAGTTAAAAATGGAAGATCTTTCTTCTTAAAGTGGCCCGGACTGAGACTTTTCCTTTGGGAAAAGGGCTAGTAGCTCTTTGTAAGGCTGGTGTGTGTATGTGTGTGTGTGTGTGTGTGTGTGTATGTATGTGTGTATGTGTGTGTGTGTGTGTGTGTGTGTGTATGCATGATGCTGTGCAAATGCCCAGGGCTGTCTGGCATTTTCCATAAAATGAGAGCCTGAGATTGCCTAAGCCTTCTGATTTCTGATGTCTTCTCCAGGCCTGGAGGTGCTGCTTTGTTCAGAGGACACAAAGGCCTGACTACCTCGCTTTAGCAAGCTAGGACACCCAGGGTGGCATCTTTACCTTTCTAGTCATCTCTGAGGAGGCTGCTTGCCAAGACTCTGACTTCTACTGGCCATAGCTAGATGGTGAGGGCTTCTTAGAGCTCATTCCACCTTTAAGGGGGCCCCACAGTACCAGCATGAGATGAGTAAGTCCAGGCCTAAATTAGGAGCAATTCCTGGAGCCTGAGGAAGTTGTAGGCTACAGTGAGCTACCAGTGGTGGGGCAACTCGAGACCCCCAAGATAGTGAGAGAGGCCACAACATCTGAGGGAATGGAACTCTTTCTTGGCCTGAGGTTCAGAAGAAACTGCACCAAGGAAAGGCATCCCTATCAATGTCACTGTTCCTGAAATGATGGGAGAACCCCAACCCTGCTTCTTACTGCTCTCCAGCAGGATATCAAACCACATGCCCTTTAGGCATGGGTCTCATCTTCCACTAAGTTCCTTGACCTAGGGAGCCCCAGCTTTTCAGGGAAGCAGCCCCTGGCATCTGGGGGCACTGAGCTCTGCGGCCTGAGGTGAAGGATGATGGTGTGATGTATCATGGCGGTGTGACTGAGACTGAGTTGGGGGATGGGGACAGGGGAACACAGGCAAAAATACACATATGCCACATGGATCCTGAGCTGCCATTGTACCTTAGAGGACTGGTGTTTCTCTGGGAAGTTGTGGGGTGGGAAGGGAAAGGGTCTCATTTTCCTGTCCATTGAAAGCATACTCACAATTCTTTTAGAAGATTGCTCAAGCTGCCTCCAATTGCCTCTTTCCAAAACCAGAGCATAAGAAAAGAAGTAAAAACAGCTGAGGCTGCAGCATAAGCAACGTAGGATAGACTCTAGGAAGCACCGCCAACAGAGAAGACTGCCAAGAAACGTTTTGAGTTTTTCTTCTCTGGAGGTGCGTCCTGGTTCCTCCCTTGGAGATCAGGATTCTGTGTAGTCCTGCACGCTGGTTGGTGGAGTGCCTGGACGTCTCTTTAGGCCTGTCTAGCTCACAAAGTCTTGCTGGCTAGGTTTTAGGCTGCCATACTGTTGCCGGGGCTCACTTCCTGTGGGTAGGTTGTTATTTTGCCCGCAGATCAAGTCCTCACTATCTAGATGCCTTGATCATGGGGATCTCTTTTTTCCTCTCTGGATAGCTCTGATCCCCAAGTTATTTATTTCCTGTTGCCTAGGTAACACCTCTAATCGGATGCCTTTTAATCGTTCCCTTTTTTAAAGGGATAAATGTGGATTTTATTTCCAGGTCTTGTCAGAGGGCCCTGCCCTAGAGAACACATGCCCTTGTGAGTGTGCAGTCCCGTCATTGAGACTGAAACCATGGCGTGGATGGGGGGACGCTCACTGGGCCAGCCTGACAGTCACAGTGAATCCTGAAAGCACGGCTTTCGCAGGAGCCCACCCTTCAGGATTTAGCAAGACCGTCCTCCCTCCTCACCAGCGTTGCTTCACTGGCTTCACCCCAGATTAGGGCCTGTGTTTAAAAACCAATCCTAACTCAAATCAGAAATTAGCTGGAGAGTCACTGAGATGCGAGGTAAGCTTTCCCTCAGAAAAGGGGAAAGAAGAGTCTGACATTCAAGTTTGACTCTAATGCTGTGTGCATGAGTGCGTGCATGCATGGTTTTGTGTGTGTTTTCCAGGCACAGTTGCCTGGGAGAGAGATTTCACAGCATGGCTCGGGCTGGAGGTGGTGAGGCGGTGCTTTTCTAAGACTTCCTATCAGAAGCTGTGCATACTGGTGGGTCACGCTGTGCCTGTATAAACTCTGGAAACTGTCCTTGGCCTCATCATAGATGAGAAAAATAGGCAGAGAGAGTGTTTGTTTACAGCTCCAGACCCTCATCCTTTCAATGAATCCTGGGTATCTGGCCTTCCTCCAGGTCAGGGACCCCTATGCTGCAGAAGGCAAGTCTGGGAGAATCTCTCAGCCTGAGAGCAAAACTTTAATCCTAACATACTTTCATCCACCAGTTTCACCAGCTCCCTCCCTTCTGCCTTCCTCTACCTCCAATAGGCTGTGCATGGAGAAGACAAATCCACTTGATAAACAATATTTAGAAAGGAATTCTGTCCTTCCTGACCCCAAACACATGATGGCCTCTGGAGTCAAATACCCTGAAATTTACAAGATGGCTTCTTTTGGGTTCCTGGTGCTGCAGGCCCTGGTTCCCAAGGACGCAGCTGGCAGAGCTCCTTCAGAGGAGGAGGAGACGCTGGAGGGCTGTGCCCTGCAACCCCAAGATCTCTTAAAGGAGGAAAAGTTGAACTGATCCACAGTAATTAAGAAAAAACAATCCACACCAACAAAGAAAAATTGAGTCTGAGAAGACTCAGATATTCCTGGTTAATAATGAAAAGCACTGCTGTGGATGAGCTTGTGACAGAAAGGACGGTTGGGGATTCAAGATGTGCTGATTCGAGACTGGAGATCAGCCAGCTAAAGCCCAGCAGGGCTCCTGCAGCCTCAGCACTCCCCTCCCCACTGGTGCCCTGGACTGCCCGCCATTAGAAGTAGCTGCCCTGTGCTCTGTCCTAAATGGACTAACTCTGGGCTGAGAAAGGCCAGCTAAGCCCCCCACCACTGCAATTTCCAAATCTGGGGGAAACGCCACAGTCCGCAAGTTGGTGCTATGTTTCATCTCATTGCATAATACTACACCATTCTCTGTGTGTAGTGGCTGTTCTATATATATACATCGGGAGGCAACATATGGCTTTCCCTACCCCCACCTGTCAAAACTGTGACTATATCACTTCTGACGACCAGAAGGAAGCTGCTAGGCTGGGCCAGGATTCTAAATGCTGAGGAGGTAATTCAGAGCCACGAAAAGTTGCACCATATGCTTTGGGGTTGCCGGCTGCTTCTGTGCATGGGGATAGGGTTTAGTGCCAGTCTGCAAAACTCTCCTTGCTGCGGTATGCCCTGGGTGGGAGTCTGGGGAGCCACCTTTTCTCACCCTGAAGGAGAATATGCTGGGGGCCACGATTCTCCAAGAGGGGACTCATAAGGAACACAGGCGTCCCCAAAACCTGCCCTTGATAACATCAGGCCTGGCCAAATAGTATTTCTTTAAAAATTTTTTTTTGTTTCATTTTATTGGATAAAGATTAAGAAAGCGCCAGGAGTGACTGAGAGAAGGGAAGCAAACCATGCCCGGCGGCCCCGCGGCCTGGAGAGGGTCCCCGGGGCGGGCGGACGGGCGGTCTACCTGGAGGCGCTGGTCTCTGCCAGCCGGTTGTTCATGATGCCCAGCGCGCCCACGCCGCCCGAGAAGCCGTTCTGGCGCGTGTTGACGCACACGCTGCGCGGGTAGCCGTTGGCAGTCTCCGACAGCTGCTTCTGCAGCAGCGCCAGCGACACCTTGTTGGAGGCCGTGAGGTCGCGCATGGAGATGAGCTCGCCCGAGAGGCGGCGGCCTTCGGCGTCGCTGTCGCGGGCCGCGGGGTCGGCGCCGAGCGCGGCCAGGCGGCGGCGCAGCCGGGAGCCCGGGGTGATGGCGTTGCGCCGGGACAGGGGCGCGCCGGGCGCCGGGCAGCAGCGCGCGCAGCAGCGGCAGCTCAGCTTGCGCAGCATCCAGTTGAGCACCTGCTTGATGAGGATGGAGATGACGTTGAAGAGCGAGTAGATGCAGCACACGCCGAGCAGGATGAAGAGGAAGTTGCCCAGGCGGTAGAGCCCCTGGTTCCGGTAGGCGGCGTGCTGGCTGCTCACCAGGTCCCCGAAGCCGATGGTGCTGAAGGTGACGAAGCAGAAGTAGAGCGAGTCCACGTAGTCCCAGCCTTCCACGCTGGTGTACATGGCCGAGGCGCAGCACGACAGCAGCACGGCGAACAGGCCCAGGATGAGGAGCACGTGGTACACCGAGGGCTTCCAGCCCGCCAGGCTGTCGGCCTCCGAGAGCGCGGAGCCGCGGCGGAAGGTGGCGGGCAACAAGCCGCTTCGGCGCAGCTGGCGCTCCCTGCAGGCTCGCATGATGAAGGCCAGCAGCGAGATGATGCGCTCCAGGAAGAGGTTGAAGAACAGGATGGTCCCGGCGCAGCCGAACAGTCCGTAGGCAATGAGGAAGGCCTTCCCGCCCACCGTCGCGGGGGTGGTCATGCCGAAACCTGTGGAGACAGGGCAGGGTCAGCGCGGTCCTGGCCGCGCAGGTGGTCCTCACGAGGCGTTCGGGGCGGGGGTGGGGAGGGCGGAGCATGCAGGTGCTCGCGTGGCTCCTATTTTGAGTGGCACCACTCAGGTGGAGGGAAAACGGCACTTAGTAATTTCTCTCTCTTGGTGGCACGTGATAGGGTTCATGATCTTGGCAGCCCCTATACTGATGGGGGAGACAGGGCCCTTCATCTTGGGGACCTATAAATCCAAGTGGGTGGGGCAGGTAGTCACTAGGAAGGATCCATATGACATACAAAATAGAAACCACTGCTGCACAGGTGCAAACCACTGAGATACCCACAAAGCAAACAAGTGCCACCTGCTCTCCCGCTCCCACAAATTGTTTTTTGAAAACTGTCATCTTTATTTTAGTTCATAAATACATTAATATACTAGTCTAGGTGAATTTTGCTGGGTGAATTACAAATATTTACATTAGCAATAAAAACCAACATAGATCTCTTCAAAGACATCTAGCTTCTTATGTGCTTGTACATTTTTTATAAAAGTCTTGTTACTTGGAAACTCCACTGCCTACTTGAGACTGGGGAAAAAAGCCAAGTAATCTTAGTGCTGTGACTAATTTTCACTGCACAGGCACTTTGAAAAGGTCTTTGGTCAAAGGATCATATTTTCTTTTGTGTGTGGGGGGGCAGGTTATTTGTCACCCATGCTGGAGTGCTGTGGTGCAATCATAGCTCACTGCAGCCTTGAACCCCTGGGCTCAAGTGATTCTCCTGCCTCAGCCTCCCAAGTGATAGGACTACAGGTGTTTGCCACGAGGTCCAGCGAATTCTTTATTTTTTCTAGAGGCAGAGAAAGGACCATATTTTCTTAGTCTACCAACATTTCATGCCTTCTGGAATTGGGCATGAGGCCAAGTGGGCAGTCCGTCACTTCCTAGTTCTTACAATGTGAATATGGGGTGACTCGAGAACGTGCATTTCAAACCAATGCCCAGATGATTCTAAGGTCTTTCATACTAGAATAACAGGATTTTCTGTTTAAAGGGCAGTTTTTAAAGAGTTGTCATATGTGCCCTTTTTTCCCCAAGTATGTCAAAGATTTTCAACACCTCCCTGTTATAAAAAAAATCAGTTTACCAACTCTGACTGCTAATGGACCCCAAAATCAAGTGTCAATGCTCAAAAGTCAACTGTAGCTCCTCTTCTTTCCTCAAATAAGTTATTTGGAATTGTGAATGAATCTATACTGAACAACTGTCGACTATAAATCTTTCTCCAAATGGTTGGTTTTTAAATGTAACCTGTAGCACACCTGGGCAGACAGCCTTGTTAGGGAAGAATTCTGTAGGGCTTTGCCTTAATTGGGATTTCTCACTCTGGGACCAGGTAGAGTGTAACCAGGTGGCTAGAGTTAATGGTCTCTGAAAAGACCTTTGTGAAGCTGACAAAAGGATTGTTGGAGAGTAGTTCACCCACACCCTTCAGAGAGTGAGCATGGCTCTGCCACTGGGTGCCAGCTCCTTCTCAACCAAGGATCACCATCAGTCATCCTTGCTCACACTTATGGCCAAGGAAAGGCTCTGGCCCAGCTGGGTCCCATGCTGGTGGTATTCTCAAATTTCTTTGTTCTGGGAGGTCTACATAACTGCATATTGTTTCAGGCTCTTATCATTCTTAAACTTACCATGTTCAACGTACAGGCTTTAAGGGTGTCTTTATCAATTGATTTCTGCAGGTGTGGCAGCCTGCCAGTGTGCTCGCCCATGCCATCCAGGGCAGTGCAGAGTGGCAGCTCTGTCTCTCCAGCCTGGGATCTCTGCCGACTGCTAGCTGTGGTCTCTCTGTGGGACTCATGGTTGCCTGACTGATAATGGGATGGGGTTTCATCTGTTGGTGGGAAGATTCATTTATCCCTGCTTGGAGTCTGAGCTGAAAAAATGGATCAAATGATCCATTTGATGGTGCTGAGCAGCACCATGGTACCATTCAACACCTCTGGCAGTGGTCAGGGCATCCCTGTTTAATTTGTGCCCTATGGCAGAAGGGCGTGCCCTGCCAGTGGGGTGGGACTAGCCTTGGGAAAGTGGAGAAGACTTGTCCCATGTGGCTTATGATTTCCCTAAACAGACTATAGAAAATATTTCTTGTAATACTTTCAGAGTACGTTCCTTAAGCCTATGTGCTAACAATCATTTTCTAGACTGTCTGAAGGAAATGCCCAGTTGCCTGAGCATGGTGTTCATCTTATGCTTAATGACTCGGGTTAGGGGAAAATCTTATGATGTCACCAATGTTGAGGAAAAAGATGGATTATGTTCCTAAATTCACAGAAAGTGAAAAAAACCAAAGTAGCTGTGTAACCAAGACTTGATGGAGCGATTGTGCTACAATGTAAAGCCACACTCAAGTTCTTGAGTTTATAAAGAAATCAATTCTGAAGTTACATGGCTATAGGTGGAGTAGGAGTATGTGTGTGTTTATAAAACATTTTAGACCAATAACCTAAATGTCTAACAACACAACTATATGATTGCCTATTCATAAAAAGAATACTATACAGCAATGAAAAAGCATGAACCATCGCTACTTGCAACAACATAGATAAATCTCACAAAAAGAATGTTGAGCAAAATAAACTGGACACAAAAGAATACATTCTGCATTATTCCATTAGTATAAAATTGGAAATCAGACCAAACTACAGTAATTTTTACAGATGTCTGCGTGGTTGGTAAAATTATAAGGGAAAGTAAGGAAGTAATTTTGATAAGTCAGACCTGGGATTTCCTCTGGAGGATGGCAGGGGGTAGTAGCTGAGAGGGGACATAGGGGACCTCTGGGATACTAGAAATGTTTTTGTGGCCTGGGCGTTAGTTACATGTGTGTTAGCTGTATAATAATTTGTTAAATTGCATGTTTTATGAGTTTTTTGTACTCATGAGAAAAAATTTTTAATTTCTAGACTGTTAGAACTCTCAGATACCCTAATTCTGACAGGTGAGGGAGTAGGGGCTTAGGGGCTGTAACCTGCATCTTACTGGGGACAGACCACCACCTGTTGTCCTGGGTTCAAACCTGGTGCATAGAGCAGTATACACAATACTGCATCTACTCACTGAGGGAAAACAAAATCTCCTATAGAGGGAAAACTCTGTTAAATTCCTAAGGTAATTGAAAATCCTGGGCCTCATAAAACAATACTTTGTCTAATTAAGAAAATGTTGAATTGGATTTTTCAGCTACAGTCTCAAAGCTGAGAACAATATGTGTACAGTTCTCCCCATTCTAACAGAAGTTCCAGACACATCCATGCTGGACTTACTAAAACAGCAAAACAGGTCTGGGGCTAGCAACCCCCACACCCCACTTCCAGGCTGTACGGAAAGGCTGGGGATTGATGGGCTCTTCCATCAGTCGGGAAGTTGTTCTGGGGAGTTGTGGGGGTGGGGAGTGGTGTGGCTTCTTTCACTCGCCCCTAGGCCAGGGGATGGTTGGAGCAGGGAAGGTCAAGAGGACTTATGGGGCTGCAGCAAGAGGAGAGCCCAGCAGCTCACTTCCCAGCTGGCTGGGCACAGCCGCTCACAGACCTGCCCAGAGTGGAGCATGGTGAGAGTTCTGGGAGAACCTGACAGTTCCCCTGGAGTCCAGAGCTGTGCTGGAGAGTTCTCTGGGTGCGAAGCTGACTGGGGCAGGCCCCACAGGCAGGTGAGGAAGAGGGAAGGGGAGAAAGAGGGCACTCACGGGAGCCATCTTCACTTCAAGGGCTTGCTGCATCAGGATGCATGAGGGTGACATGGGTCACCAGTGGGTGACAAGTGGATATTGAAAGGAAGAGATCTGAAGAGACTGCCCACGAGGGCTGCCTGCTGGTGCAAGGCAGCCCCAGCAAGAAGAGGCTGAGGGTCAGGGGGCTTGGGACAGCATGAGAGGGAGTCACGGGAGGAAGGATGGAGAGGGCAGTGCCCACTCAGAGAATGGGGCAGGGAGTGGTCCCTGTACAGGGCTCCCAGGGACCCATAAATAGTTGCCATGAAAGCACATATGCCTGTTCTAACAGGGAGCCTTGCAGCCCTACTAGCAAAAGTTAAGAAGGAATGATAGTGGCTCCAGTGATGTAAGATCACCCCCATGCCCCATCCACTGCGGGTCCCCTGAGCCATGTGTCAGCCCCGAGCTGGAGGGGGAGACTAAGCTCTGATTAGAAGTTAATTTGAAAATTTGATTAAACATCTGAGAATGAGTCTCAATCTTAAAACTGGTACTTAAAAAAAAAAAAAAAAGCCGGACATGGTGGCTTATCCCTCTAATTCCAACACTTTGGGAGGCGGAGGCAGGCAGATCACCTTAGGTCGGGAGTTTGAGACCAAACTGACCAACATGGAAAAACCCAGTCTCTTCTAAAAAATGCAAAAGATTAGCCGAGTGTGGTGGCACATGCCTGTAATCCCAGCTACTCAGGAGGCTGAGGCAGGAGAATTGCTTGAACCCAGGAGGCAGAGGTTGCAGTGAGCAGAGATTGTGCTATTGCACTCCAGCCTGGGCAACAAGAGTGAAACTTTGTTTCAAGAAGAAAAAAGAAAGAAATTGGCTGAGCACTCTGGCTCATGCCTGTAATCCCAGCACTTTGGGAGGCCAAGGTGAGTGAATGACTTGAGGCCAGGAGTTCGAGACCAGTCTGAGCAACATGGCAAAACCCAGTCTCTACTAAAAATGCAAAAATTAGCCAGGTGCGGTGGTGTGCACTTGTAATCCCACCTACTTGGGAGGCTGAGGCACAAGAATTGCTTGAACCTAGGAGGCAGAGGTTGCAATGAGCTGAGATCACATCCCTAGCATCCAGCCTGGACGACAGAGTGAAACTCTGTCTCAAAAAAACAAAAAACACAAAAAACCCAAACTATTTGGAAAACTCTGCCATCTACCTAAGATGTTAAGGAATCTAAAAGGGAGTTATTTATTTTTTTTTGTGAGATGGAGTTTCATTCTTG